TTTTGGGAAGAAAATATTGGTATACTCTTGGAGATGCTCTAAGCACCTAATCTGAAGAAACGAGCACTGTCCCAGCAAACTTGAAGCACCCCCAATCTGAAAGTATGGAGCCCTGTGAACAGAAAGAACCAGATGATTATAGATCTTCTATTAATAAGAGATCTGCAAGAAGATCTACAATCATCAAAGTCAAGCTAATATTGAGGAGACTCGCAAAGGATGGAGAAGGAGCACCTTGCAAAACTTCCACCAACATCTCAATAAGGTGCTTTATACTCCATAATCTTGCTACCTCCCGAGGATCCAGAGGGATGCAGATCTGCATCTCAATGCTCAAATCGCAACAAGATTATGGAATCTAAAAGCACCTAATCTGAAGGCCTTCTCCAAACACTAGCATCTATGAGGTGCTTTATCTCCATCTTGAACCTCTCATGGGCTCCAGGCCGCAGATAGGTGCAAGAAGGAAGACAAAGCACCTCTAGAAATGAAAGATGATTACCTCACAAGTGTGTGGATTCAAGAGTGTGTGATTGAGCCCAACAGATTCATCTAGACCCAAGTTAAATAGGCGGTGAAGATGGAGAAGTGCAAGTAGTGGTGATGCAAGTAGTTGGGAATTAACTCACGGTGACTTTACCACCGATAGACCAAATCTGACCGAGCCGATAGACCAAAATCTAACCGAGCCAGACACATCTCACTCTTCAATCTTTAGTTCACCCTTGACTGTTGTGACTGCATGGATTGGAATCAAATAAGTATAGAAAATACCTATCATAACTGCACTAGGCATTCAAGTCTCAAGACCGTCAGAAGCTCTTTTTCTCGATTCACTTTTTGTGTCTAGCTTTTCAGACACATTCGCTTCACTCTAATATTTTACTGCGCTCGTAAGAAAGTCTGATGTAGCACATTTCATCTCATCGAACACAATATAGTATAGATCTATGAGTAAAACTATTGCCTACGGAGTGCACTCTGTCAATTTGTATCAGTTGTAGTAGTAGTCATGAGTGGCTTTGATCTGTGTTGAACCCAACTCATCTTATTTTCATGTATTTGATAGGATTTGTTGAACTTGTAAGAACCATCACATTTGTTGTATCATATTGACATGATGGGGTGAGCCCCCCCCGCCCCCACACAAGCGTCTCGGGCGTGGGGTGGTCGACGCCCCCAAACTATAGTGGCCGAGACAAGGAGCTTGAGGAAGGTTATACCCACTGCCTTCTCTCTAGAGCTCTGATTCCATCCCAAAGCTTTTGCCTTCCACCCTACTACACCACCGACACTCTTGCAGGACCATGGCCAAGCCAACGAGGTCGTGATGTCGATGGGGAGGCCCCGAGAGCCTTCCCGTCGGCAATCCTCCACAAACAGATGGACCTCTCATCGGCATGGTACATCACCCGCCATTCCCCCCTTTGAGGTGGATCATCACCATACCGCTGTTCATGTTGTTTATCTTCATTTAACTAGAGTATATGCGAGCAATGCTCACACTAGTATTTATGTTCATCTTTGTTTAATTTAACTAGTATTTGGAATTTGCCTACTATCTCAATAGGAGGGCGTGGGTGTGATGGCATCTTGAGCCTCGTTGGCCCCGGAGGCGTAGTTCTTTGTTCATGGTCTAGCTTTCGAGCGACCCATAAAGGCATCCCCGATGGAGGCAGCCACCCCGATTCCCGTGCCATCTTTGTCTTGGCCGGGATTTGATCAAAAAGTTGTTTGCCTTCTCAATCAGATCCCTCTCCCCATTATCCTATATGGCTTGAACTTGGCTTGCATTGTGCGGCGCTTCCTTCATGGTGGCACCATCCTCGGACGTGGGCTTTCCCCAATGGTGCCGTGAGTCGCCTCTGAGTGCGCCGCTTGCAACCGTGCTGAGCCGTCACGTCCCCTGCGACCCTCTGGTTTGAAGTGGGCAAATTGTCAAAAGAGCGTGAATCCTCAGACGACATAGAGTACCATCAATTATTGAAGGGTTACCATAAGGCCCAAGCAGATTTGTCATCGACTGAGGTGAGCGCCGAGATCCGCATCTTGAGGTGGATGATCTTGTGACACACTTCATTTTTCCATGTTGAGGTCTCCATGGCGCTTAGTCAACTAGGAGATCCACCTAAAGAAGGGCCAAAACATGATGAACTTTCTTGTAGATCCGAGGATGCGAGTCGAGACCCTTGTCTTGTGCGTGCAAGCCGCCATTAACTCGGGCTTCCCCGTGCGAGCAGTGGATAATCTGTTCACCGTAGAGGAGCCATTTTGAGCCCTGATAGCCTAGCTTTGAGCCATGGTGACCAAAGCCATTCATTAGGGAGTCATTTGTCTTTGGCTGCTGCTTGACTTTAGATTGGTGCAGCGTTTAACATCCGGAGTAGTGAACAAGGTTTTCCACCGGAATCGAAGGATGATGACATCATTGATCTGGTCGAGAGTTTCTAGCTGGCCGCTAACGTAGTCTTAGCGAAGGTGGATGTGCATGAGATCCTGCACGCCCACCTCAACCCTTGATCCATGGGACGTATCAGTAGTACTAGTAGTCATGACTAGGTTTAATCTGTGGGATGTCCTTACGAATATGTGAACTCTTATTTGCATGCATGTCTGTGTGAACTTTTGCTGCACTTTGTATTAGGTGGGTTAAACTCTATTGAGTGTGGTGTAGCTCAGGTCATTTGGTCATTTTATAGCTGGTTTCTTTTTTCTACATATTTCTTTCTAGTTGTCTTTGATCTAAAACTTAATTTGCTAAACATTCATGAGTGCCTTCGATCTTTGTTAAAGCTAACTCGTGTCTTTGATAAAATTTGTTGAACTTGAAAGAACCATGCAGCGAGGAGTTCATCTGAACAAGTCTCACCTTGATCTAATGCAGAATGGAGGAGCCAAAGCTGTTGACTTTTAATGCAAATGTAAGAATGTCCGGCCGCTGCGTATTTGATCTCGTAGGATAGCAGAGTGTCGTAGCAATTAGTCTACCCCTCGACTATCATGACTGCTTGGATTGGAGTGAAATAAGTACAGAAAAGACCTATCACAACCTATTTGCACCAAAATTTGGGAGAAGAAAGAGGGAATTCGAAGGCTTCCAAGATTGTGCCAATTAATGAATCGATTGCATAAGGACCGATATTAGCTGATTTATATACGACTCTGGAATCGGATCTCTTTGGATGATGTCAGCAGATAGCGATGGTGAGCTACGGTTGGCGCCAGGAAACTACATATCGGACTCTACAAAAGGGAAAGATTATGGTCAAAGTTATCTTAAATTAGGAATGTTTTCTTCTATGCTGAAGATTGTAATGAGTCGTGCTCGAGTAGGATTCATGTTTAGGATCCGGGTATAAATATCGGACCTCCGGCTTGTTTGTAAGTACCGTCATGGCTTATACTTCTGTTCATACGGCTGCATCGATCCGATCCACCTCCACTACGACTCTGGTATGAACTAGTTATCGACTCTTGTTTTGTTCAAGTACGGCTGCATCGATCCGGTCGACCTCCACTGCTCGAACTAGATTAAGGTCAAGTTATCGACTCTATCTAAGGGTGGCATCCTTCGGATAGATTCATTAAGTTACCAATATTGCTTATTGTTTTCATTATTTATTTAATTACAGCAATATCACTTCGCCCGATTGGGATTGATCTAGATTGGCCTTATATACTGTTTAACCCATCGTTTATTAATCTAAATTGATCTAATCTGCACCTTAAATGATGAGTTATGTTTTATCAGCTGTTTTATGTCAATCTTGATCGTGCATAGCATGCGGTTAAGGCATGTCTGGTATTGAATAGATCTATTGGCTAACGAGAACCATTCCATGGCCTGTTATCACGGCCTGTGTGATTCTGCCTCACACCCCACTGCTAGCACCGTGGAGTGTGGATCGTTATTTGGTAGATCTGTTCTTAATAGGGCATGACTTTAATTGTGCGATATGCCTAAATCGGCTGTTTTAGCCGATATCGAGTGTTTTCACATATGCAGTTCAAGTCACGAGACCGTTGAAGTAAAGATAGGTTGAAAGATGTGTTATCCCCATGATCTTATTATTGTATTACGGCCTACATGATTCTACATCATGCCCCACTGATATTAGTAATAAGTTAGGGTCATCGAATTTATCGTTGTTTCTACGGCCTGCATGATTCTGCCTCATGCCCCACTGGTCATAACGATAGATGAGATCTAATATGTTCATTAGATTTATCTCTATTAAATGGTTAAATGATGAGTTGTTTCTTTTATATAAAAAAAGGGATTCGGTTACTTGCAGTCATTGGCTTAGCATAAACTAATTATTGTTAACATCCTATTGCCATTGACCAGTATTTGTCTAAATAACAATATTCATCCTGAATAATAACCGATTTTCCTTCCATAACTCCATGATTTTTAACTAATTTATTCTTATGAGTATGCTGGAATCGGCTATTTAGTCCATCTTCTTCCATATCGGCTCTCAGAGCCACACATTCAGGACTGTCTGGCAACACCGGCATGTTCCGCCTTAAATTACTGATTAGCTTTCTCTCCTTGTCAATTGCAGGGTCAAATTGACTGGCACGAGGATCGATAATCCCTACGTTGAAGCTAGGCGGATCTCCAGCTCCATTGAGCGGACCCTTCCGGCTTGCTCGTGTGCCCTCAGCACGGGATGAAATTTCATGCCGACACATGTTTTGGCACGCCTGGTGGGACCCTACAATCATCATGGTGGCTTATAACAACAACGACTTCCTTACAGTACCATATGAAGACCTACCTGATGGAGATAAAGATGTCATCGGCAAAGCTATAGAAGAATTCCAGAACAAGTGTTTGTTGTCCTACACCAAAACACGTG